ACAGCAAGTTACTTGTCTGCACTAACCAAAGCCTGTTTGCTTTCAGCCCTGAAGTCATATTCCATCTCTTCCCAGGAATCCCCTCCTGATTTTCAAGGGGAATTTCTAATTTCTGTTTTATTTCCTAAATGAAGGAAGAGAAGCAGAAAAAGAAGTTAAACGTGAAGCTGGAGCTGGCCAAGTTCCTGCAGGAGACCATTGCAGAGATGGCCAAAAGGAACAAAGTGGAATCAGCACAAGGAAAACAATTCTCCTCTTATGTGCACCAGGTAAAGTGGGCTGGGGGTGTGTGTGTCTGTGACAGCTACAGTCCTTGCACCAGCTTTAGTGCTGCTGGTTTTGGCAGAGGATGTGGGATTTGTACAAAGATTGCAGCGGGGTTGAACAGCACAGAGCTGTCTGTCAGGGGTTACCATTAGCTGGATACCCTCTTGCAGCTGATGCCCTGCTGGCACTAGCTCTTGATCCCCACGACTCAGAGCTATCTGTATGGATAAGCATTCCCATCCTGGGGCAACAGGGTGAAATCCCTTAAGTGGCCACTCAATGCTGTTTCGCTTTGGCCTTTTAACTACAGTGTTTGGTTTCCACCCAGAGACTGAAAACCCAGTGTGAGAAACAGGAAAGGCTTCTTCCTTGAGAGGGAAGAGGATCCTTCACAAGCTGCGGTTCTGTTTGGGTTTGGCTCTGGGCCCTGATGCCTCTTGCTTTGTCCAGATCCGTCACAGCGGCCACCAGCCCAGCACCCAGGACATCGTGCGCTTCTCCAAGCTCTTCGAGGACGAGCTGACCCTGGAGCACTTGGAACGGCCTCAGCTGGTGGCTCTTTGCAAATTGCTTGAGCTGCAGCCCATTGGCACCAACAACCTGCTCCGCTTTCAGCTTCTGCTCAGGCTCAGAACCATCAAAGCAGATGATGAGGTAAGCTTGAAGTAGCTCAGATGTCCCTGCTTTGGTGGAACGCAATCTGAGGCTCTGCCCTCTGAGTCACTGCTGCTTTACATAAGGCATTGTCCACACTCCATCCTCAGCTGCAAGGATTAGTATTGATGGGAGTCAGGTTCTGCTCATAAGAGATGCCAGAAAGAACAGAACAAGAGCTCATCTTCCTGCACCTTTGCTGAACCCTCACAAGTGTAGCACTGCAGGTACTGTCACTGCTTGAACACCCTTTTATTCTGGAGTCAGACTAACTTGTGCAAAAGGGAGGTTCCAATTCTGGAATAGATATTGTATCAAAGGCCAGCTTTTAACCAAGTGAATTCAGGCTGAGTTTATATCAGTTTATAAAGTGCCTGCATTTCCTTAGCCTGGAGAAAGCCAAGGGAGAATCTGCCTAATGGGGTTGTTTAGAAAATGGTACCAGGCTTAGAGGTGCACAGGGGGAGAACAGGTAAAGGTCATACGCTGCAGCAAGGGAAATTCCATCTTGATAAGAAAACAAAATCAAACTCAGTGAGCGGGTAAACAGTGGAACAGGTTGTCCAGAGCCTGTGAAATCCCCATCCCTAGGGATAAATGGAAAAGGCTGAGCAATGTAAAGAAATGTGTAAGTTAACCCTCTATAGAACCCCTTGGACTGGGGACCTCCAGAAGTCCCTTCCAGCCAACATTTTAGGAAGCGTGATTTGAAATGGTGTCAAGAATCCTATTAGGACACAGAAGAAGAGACCAGGAAACTTACTGCTAGTAACTAACCCCAGGTCCAGCTTTAAAGCCTGCAATTGAGTGTGTGAATGAACTCTTTAAACCTGCAGCATCACATGTAACAGTGAAATTCCCAGCGCCTGGGGGAAACCCAAAATAATTAGAATCCAAGTTTTTCATCCTCTATAGCTGGAGGCTGTCAGCTTCCAAGGACAGAAGGGATAATCCACAGTGGTTCTGTCTCATCTTTGTGTTGGTATGACTTCATGCACATTTACCTAAACAGGCCTTTCTTTGGGCTCAAGCCCATCAAGTACATCAGGGGTTTGGCTTATTCTGTGCCTAGATGGGAACATCCCATTTCATTTCAGCTGATTGCCAAGGAAGGAGTCAATGGCCTGAGTGTGTCTGAGCTGCAGAGCGCATGCAGAGCCAGAGGGATGCGGTCACTGGGCCTCTCAGAGGAGCAGCTCAAGGAACAGCTCGGACAGGCAAGTACACTCTGGTGTGGTCCTGCCTAGGGCACAGTGAGGAGCAGTGTTCAGGCAGAGCAGGCACAGCTTCACTGGGAACTCATCCATTCCAGATGGATCCTCACATGGCAAAACTGAGATTAAAGGCATGAAGTATCCAGATTCTGGCTTGGACTAAAGAGAAAACCAAGTAGAATCAGGGCCAGCTAGAAACAAGATGAAAGGGGGATGTGTGGTATATGATTTAAGCTTCTAAAGTAGCTAAGGCTTGTAGCAGAGCCAACACCAGTCTCCTGTAAGCATTGTAGCAGGGTATGGATAGTGCTGTAGGTGCTGTGTTTGTGTAAGCTGTAGGAAACTCAAAGTAGTTTGCTTTCACTGGTGGCTGTTCCTCAGTAGTGATGTTTGCACCTCACGAGCAGCTGGAAACATCCTCTCTAGTGTGTATTCCATTTGGTATCCTTAACTCTTCCAAACTATTCCTTCTCATTCTGGTGACTTAAATCTGTGTTAGTCAAACTCCAGATACCTTTAAGATCCTTAAGGACAAAGGATGCTGTGTAAATTAGTAGTGACGTAAAGCTAATACGCAATAACTTTTCCTCCTGCTTTCCTCCAATAGTGGCTGGATCTGCATTTGAAGGAGAACGTTCCACCTTCTCTGCTCCTCCTTTCCCGTGCCTTGTACTTGATAGATACAAAGCCACAACCTATTCCAGTTCCACAAGATCAGGTGAGTTGTTTGAATAGAACTCTCAGGTTAATAGTTCAACCATTACCCATTGTAAAAATGAAGCCCTGTGACATGAATCTTGTTCTTTGATCCTCCAAGTGGACTGAAGTTATAACTGTGCTGAACTCAATGTTCTTCTGCAGAGAGGTGAAACTGCTCAAATCATGACATCCACTCTTGAAGGCCAAGAGACCCTGGTGGATCCTGCCCCTGTTGTACAGGGAAGAAAGATTAGGAGATAGCAACCTATAAGTAGGAAAACGAGCATGTCCTGCTGTAATCTCTGGGAAGAGCACGTGGACAAACCTTTCCAGAGCTAGACAACACCCTACGTTTGTCACCATTGTCCAGAGCACAGAAGTAGTGCATGTTCTTGCATTGTGTTTGTGCCAGAGTGCCTCACGGTTGCATACTCTGACTTGAGACAGTGAAAGGGTACAGAGGCCTGTGGCACATCTTGTCCTGGTGCTGGAAGCAGCTGGTTGTTCAGTACCACGTTACTGGCTTCCAGTAGATGAGCCCTCACAAGCTGCTAAGTTGCTTTATTCACATGCAGAGACCTCAATCCAGGCACAATTAGCTCAGAGAAGCCAAGAGATGCCAGTTAAAGGCGACTTGTGACTTGTTTTCAGCTCTCCTAGTGAACTTGGTAGTTGTCCAGGACAAAAGGAGACAAAATACCTAGAGTAAGAAAGCCAGAGCAGATGGTTCTCAGCATAAGGCTGAGGAGAATTCCTTGGATTAGTCCAAGCTGGCAAAAGCAGCAACAGAATTAAAGGAGAATCTTGTGTCAACTGCTAGAAGTGTTTCCATAGCACTTACAATTGGGAATGCTGACATAGAGCCCTCACAAACGTGCACTGCAGGGAGCAGCCTTACTGGGAAAGGAGAAGGGGCTGTGTGGGACCTAGGTGGAGCTTTGTTTTCTGAGGCTTCTATGACTTAAAGCTGCTTTTTCCTTAAAGAATGAAGAGTTTGTATCCCAGCCAACAGAGAAATTGCCCGGCTCAGAAGTGCCAGTGACGCCTCCCCCACGAGAGGTAAGCTTTTCCAGCCTTGGACTTCCCAAAGGAGATTGTTCTTTACGCAGCTCCCAAACTGAAAATGGATGCTACAAGGTGTTGTGAATGTTGAATTCAAGGAGCAACTGGGGATGAGAGCTGCGTTGAGGGCTGCTAAATACAGAAACACCACACGTGGGAGACTGCAGAAGGTAGCAGAGCACTGTGGGGAGTTACCAGTGTGTCTTTCCTTGTGCTCTTCCTTAACATCCTGCTGTGGACCACTAGGATAAAACCACCACAGGGTTACATGTCATTTTGTATCTGTAAAGTTGTTTCTACAGTGACTTTTGCCCATTTTCTTGCTGTAAATACCTACTGTCAGTTTATTATGCAGACATCTGGGCTGCCCACTGAAGGCAAGTTTGAGTCCAGGCTGACATTTATCAACAGGAGAATGTTCCTTTCCTGCAGTAACCTGGTTCTTAGTCAGCAGACTCTCCAGAGCAGCTTCCCATAGGGAAAATACCTTCTTCCCAAAAAGTCCTTGCATTTCAAGAAGCATTTGTGCTGATACTGCCTCAACTCTACATCTTTCTCTTGCACCCAGGCTAAAATGGAAGCATCTCGGAGCAGCAAAGCCGGCGCCAATGGAGCATAGCCTGGAGCCAGTGAGGACTGTGTGACACTGGGGGAGAAGAACTGTCACCTCTGCCCTTCCTCAGGAGGAAAGAGGGATTTTCCCAGAGGATGCACCACCCAGGAATGTGGCAGCAGCCCTTGGGGGCCTCCCTCTCTGCTCCAAGCTTACTAGCGCTTGGCCATGCTAATGCTGCCTGGATGGCACCAGCTCCTCTGTTGTGCTGGATCCCACCCCCCCACCTCCCAGTTTAACTTGTGGTATAAATAGGGTAATAGTGATGCCACTGTCTGTGCTGTTACTGAAGGGGGATGTTTGTGCTCTTCAACCTCAGGAAAGGCAACTCTTCATTGCATTAAAGCCCAGAATGAGCTCTTCTGGAGCTCCTCTAAAGCCTGTTGTACAGTTTGAGACCCTCTGCAGGAACATGCCCCCATCCCCAGGGCCTGCAGCTTGTCCTGCTGCCGCAGCTTTCCAAGCTTTTGATCCTGGTTAGCATGGATTGACCAATAACTAGTGCACAGAGTGGCCCGTGTAACTGTTGTGTTTCACTGTCCCACGTGTACCAAGGTGAATAACTGCAGCAGAGGGAGGCCAGCACACTCCTCAGTGCTGTGGCTGGACTTGGCTGTTCAGGAAGACCTAAGGACTTGCTGGACAAGAGCAGGGCTGTGAAGAGGACAACTTCCACTGCGGGAGCAAGTCTGATGTAACCTTCATCAAGACAGTTAAACCCTCTGAGGCTCAGCACTGCACATCAGTGTGCTCAGACTTCCTGTGCTGCACAAAGTGATGCTTCACACACTCTGATGTTGACTGCTTCTGGAAGCCTCTGTAGGAGGATGCTGAGAAGCTGGTTTTAGCATTTGCTAAGTATTTTTTACTTTGTCAGTCTTCAGAAATGACTCACATGATGGATTTTAAACGTGTATTTATACTTATTGTCAACGTAAAACTAGACTTGGTGCTAAGTAGAATGAAATGTCTCTTGTAGAGGTCAGACAGCCCTTAGAACAATCCACCTCAACAAAAGCCTGGCAGTCTCAAGGTTGGCTGCTGTCAGCACTTCAAACACACGACTCCAGGCTCCTAGTCCGGGTTCCTACTCATAGGAATGCTGTGTTCTCTGTTCTGTCCCTGCACCCTGCCTTGGCACAGTGCAGGGACACAGCACGGAGTATTGGTGTGTAACTTGGGGGTTAGTAAATAAGAACTAATGTTACTTCAATAAAGTAACCCCATTCCTCAAGTCACTCCTGCCTCTGCGTGGTGTGGGTGAGGTGTTGCTGGTTAACTCATGGTTAAACCAGGTCTTGTCTCCTCCATAACTGATGGTTGCTGTTAGAACAGAGCTGTGACCTGCCACCTGCAGAGCCTGTCTGGAAAAGCATTTCACCCCCTAAAGAGCCAAGTACAACCCTCACTCAGTGCAAGGTCCCACTGGGGTTGAGCACCAAGATGGGGGTGCAGAAGGATGCGAGTAACAGCCATGGCTAAAGCGTGTAAAGAGGGAGATGGAGCCGCTGAGCTCCAGAGCCAGGGAAAGGTCTGCCTGTTGTAAAGCACTAACTGGGCTGACACCGTGTCCAAGCAGGACGGGAGGGATGCGGATAGTCCTGTCCGTAGGGTGAGCAAGCTCGGAGTAACCGCGGTTACGCCAGTGCCGCTTCCCACCAGTAGATCGCAGCATCACCCAGTTCTTGCACCGACAAGCCCCAAAACGGGCTGTTGGAGTGAATCCACCTCGTTGGGGAGCACCCAACAAGGGGCAGCCGGAGCCCATCAAACACCTGCAAAAGCCCCTATAAATACCTGCACAGCCTTGCGCATCCCACATGCCCATGAAGCCCTTGAGATTTAAGCCAGGACCCTGCTTCCAGGTCCGAGTGACACCCAAGGAGCAGCATTAAACCCACACAGAGCCTGCAAAGACGAGTCGTGCTCCTAATTGCACCCAGACCTCCCTGCTCCTGGTGCCCATGCACAGCATCCCTCCAGCAGCACAAAGGCGCATGTAGGAGGTGTGTTGGGAATCCTCACTCAGTTAAAGAGCTGGCTGCAGCCCTGGAACAACAGAGCAGCACATGGAGAGCCTGGTCCTCACACGCAACACCCTGGCATCTGCCTCAAGCTGGGCTGGGAGCTTGTTTTGATTCCAGGGGCAGTTGGGAGCCGCAGGAGAGAGCATTCCCTGTTCCCTCCCGGCTCCCGGCACCCATCACAGCTGAGGAATTCCGAGTTCCCGGAATCAGCCCTTCATTAGTGCGGTGTAATGAAGTGTTCTCAGCACCAACCAGACTTCAAAGCTTCCCTCCGTGCCTGCAGCAGCCGAGCTTCAAAGCTCAGACCCTGGCCTTGCATCCAGACCCACTGCAAACAGCAGCAAAGCCAACCCACCAGCCCCATGCTCCGCAGCAGGACATGCTGCCCCTTGCCCAGCCCCTAATGAGCGCTCAGTGGGGCACAGGCACAGCACAGAGACATTCCCAAGGTGCCCACACATCCATGAGCATCACTGGTGCCCGATTGCTGCTCCTGCAGCCTGGCCAAGGGAAGCACCAGAGCCCTGTCCTGCCCCAAGCCCCTGTGCAGGCACAACCAGCACACAGACACGTTTCCTCTGCCCCAGCAGCTCACCAAGCCCATCACCACTGTGCTTGCACCAGGATGAGCCTACCTGATGCATTGAGCCATGGTGGGGACCTGCTGCACACCAGCCATGGGCCCATCTTCCTCTGCTTTAATACCACAGGCTGGCTGTGCCAGCAGCACCAGCAGCTGAGCAGGATCAGACCATCAGCTTCCCAGGATAAACAATCAGGGACAGGCTTGGGAAAGCTGGTTCTGAATGGGACAAACCCTCTCTGCAAACCAGGGGAGGTCTGAGCCCGTTGGGCACAGGGGGGAACAATCACTGCAGCAGCACCCAGGCAGTGCCAGTCCATATGGGGGGACAGGGGCACAGGACAGGGGGACAGGGGCACAGGACAGGGGCGCAGGGGCGCAGGACAGGGGCATGGGCATTGCTGTCCTTGCTCCTGGAGCTGCAGAACCAACACTGGCCTGTTTGCAAGGGCCATGCACCGAGTTCCTCCACGGCAGGACCAGGACTGAGCAGCAGCAGCTCCAGAGAAGCCCCTTTGCTGCCCGCAGGAGCACAGGAGAAAACCCCTTGCAGGGGAGCAAGGGTGTTCCTTTCTGGGGGCGGCCCCTATGGGGAGGCGGTATTTACACCCGGAGGCAGGATCATGGTTTAAATCCATAGGGATTCATCAAAACCAGGGAAGAACAAGCTGTGCCAGCACAAAAGCCCCCTCCCAGGGCTGTGACAGGCTCGAGGAAGGAGGATGCTGGCGTGTGTCCTGGTGGGATGAAGGGGTGAGCTCCGGGTGAGCTCTAGTGCTCCAGGAGCCCCATCCATGCTGGCGTGTGCGTGAGGAGTCGCTTCGTGTCTGCTTTCCTCCTGTGTTTCCCATTTAGAAGGATCTGGAAGCCAGGGAATGCTGTTCCCTGGTTGTCCTGCGCCGCACGGCTCCGTTGCGGGGAGCCGGGCACTGCATGAACCCACAGCAGCCACTTCCACACCCCTGAACAAGCCCATTTTCAGACCAAAACTCCCTGTGGG